ACTCACCTTTTCTTATCCTTACTCCTGTCTACCTCAAACCAGGTCACTCTACGATACTTTATCTTGTGACCTACACATATCTATTTATACTACTCACAACCTTCCTTTAACTTGCTAGTACCATAGATTTCCTTTCGTGCCTTCTCAGTTGTCTTTAAATGTAAACAATTATTTTTTCTGGTCGTTCCGCCACTTGTTGCATGGATACTTGGCTTATCTTATTGCCCACGAATACTGGAATTTCCTGTAACTCATATGGTCTCAAATATCACCTTTGATTTTTTTTTCCGTTCATTAGCCACGATAGGTGCCACTTTCTTATGGAGTGCATACAATGTTGTAGTGAGACTGTTGTTACAAGACCATTTCTTCTTTAGGTCACTATGCTTACGTTGAAGCCTTTTTCCTTATTTCCTCAGCTAGTCTTTCTTTGTAGTACATAGAGGAGATCTTCTGACTCCTGTAAAGCTGCAAGCTTATTACATCGTATACCCAAAGGAATTTTTGATGTTTTTACTCTCCTATAATTATCCTTAGTTACTTACCTCCGTGCCCGTGTGCTCGTAAGGTTGCTTCTGAACTGAAATTTAAACTGTCTCCCTAGTGGCACTCTCTTTTATTTCCATAACACTTATACGCTACCTTTAACTACCCAGCTCCTATTTGGATATTTCTGAAGGATCATGATGTTATATCTGCGAGACTGAATTCACTATGTTGGGGTTCACTACGTTTATCTTGCATGATCTGTTGATTTGTCTGTATCCTCTTGTCTAGCCATAACTAGGCTCTCCCTGAATCAACCACTAACTACTTGTTGGTCCGTTCTCATATCTATATTCCGCGTAATCTCTCTTGGGATATGTCCTTTGTTTTAACTTACCCCTTGCACTGGCTCCTGATGTATCAAGTGTCCGTTCGCACTTATTTATCAATAACATCCTGGCCAGGAGCTCTTACTGCCTCTCTGCAGCGTCGTACTTGCATAATGTTCTAAAGTCGCGACATATCTCTAGGATCTGAATAAATGCAACCTCATGCCTTTCGCCTTTTTACCACATTCTTCCTTTAACATTCCATAGTTACCTGAACCACTTAACTCCGACTTAATACCACATCACACCATCTTCCCCCTTTAGGAGAGTACTGAGATTTAGTGCTACGACGATCTACCTATAGATGTTTTACCTCTTCAACTTTGGCGTCTTTTCACATCATCAATGACCTCTACTCACCTTACGGTAACCCTTTTGTACCAGGGATAACTGGATAGCGTGCGGCGACAAATAGTGACGAGTGCCCGCTTCACTGAGGCGAGAGGCGCGTAGCGAAGCGCTCGCCTTTTTGATGTGAAGCGACAATTACAAAAACATAAAATATTATATATATATATAAACTCAATAACAATAATATATTAATAAATATATCAATTCAAAAATTAAGAAACTCAATAGATAGTCATAGTAGATTCATAAACTAAAGTCTAAAAGTCTAAAACAAGCAACATCTATTCTTCTTCAAGATTTTCATACTCTAGAACTTTAAGAATGCTAGCATTATATTGGCTATCATCTTCTTCATCCTCGGAGTCTTCATCAATTAGGGACCGGCTTGAACTTGCTACTCCCTTTCCCTTGTAATTTGAACTTGAAGAACTCCCTCTATGACCATAGATATTCTCCTCAACTCCAGCCGCCATAGAAACAATACCCAAATCAAGATCATCTCCTACATACACTTGTTCATCTTAATGATTTTGGGGTGCTCCAGTTAACCATTCATTTGCCTCGTCAATGTTATCCAACAAAATTGGATCTATGGTATCGCGAGCTTCATAACGTCACCTCAATGTTCTATTGTATTTATTATACACTAGATCATTGAGACGCGATAGCTCAAGCCTATTCCTTTTCTTGGAGTGAATCTGCGCATAAATTGTTTAGATTAATTAATAGATACTAATAATAATACAATATAGAATATATTAGTATAATAAATCTACTTCTTAGTTCTTACATGCTCAAATACGCTCCAATTTCTTTCTACAAGTTAGTCTTAGTACTTTGATGACAAACTTTTGCAAGTTTGGAGTTTGATGTCCAAATTGCATCCACCATTCAACTTTCATATTCTGGACATGAGAGTTTTTGACTGGCCAATACTCCGCTCCATACAACATAATTGGTTTAACCACTACTCTGTAGAACTCACCTTTAAGTCTTGCTGGTACATTCTTATCTCACAAGACACGTAATGCAAGCCTCTGCCTCCATTTCGTCTACGTCGCTTCAATAAGACGTGTGAACATCAAGTATGTAAAAGAAGGTTTGGGCTCCTCCTTATCAAAAAAAAAAAGAAGGTTTATGGGCTCCTAAGACAGTTAATATGCCATATGGATTAGCTGTTTGGAGGCAAATTTCCAATTTCTGAATGGAATTTAATAAGCATATTAGATTGGAAGTCGGTGATGGTAAGAGTATGAGGCCATGGAAAAATAAGTGGATGAATCTGGGATTTTTAAGGATCAGTTTCCAAGTTTATTTTGTATTGCTGGTAATCCGAATGCTAGCGGGTGTGTTCCCTGAGGAAGGCTGGGAGTTTCAGTTTAGAAGGAATCCCTTTGAAAGAGAAATGCAGGAAATTGATTTATTCATTCAGAAGATGCAAAATTTTAGTCACACATGGAAAGAAAATAAACTACTCTGGAAGGCAAGTAGTAATGGCATTTTCTCAGTAAGTCTTGTTATAAAATTCTTAACACACAACAGCAGGGACAATCTAGGAAATGGCCTTGGAAGATGATTTGGAAGACTGCAGTGCGCATGCTTGGGCTGGCTCATGGCACATGAGGCTTGTCTAACACAAGAAACTTTGAAGAGGAAGGGCTGGATATTATGTACTAGATGCTATCTCCGTGAAGACTGGTGAATCTATGGAGCACTTATTTTACAATGCAAGTTTACCTGGTAGATTTGGTCTATGTTTCTGGCTATCTTTGGAATAGAATGGGTTATCCCTAGGAAATTCAGAGAAGTACTTGAATGATGGGAAGCAACTTACCCAGATGGTTTATTTAAGAAAATCTGGATGTATAGACTATTTGCGAAGAAAGAAACAAAAGAAGTTTCTGAAGGCACGAAGAAACAAATTCAGATTGTAAAATTCAATTGCCTTTATTATTTGTATTCCTGGAAGGATGGGAAAACTATTTTTAATTTGCATGATGTGCTAGACTTGCTAGAACATTTAGGAATTTGATGTATTCAAGTCTAGTTTACTTTTTTTGTAATTCCCAGTATCAACTTGATACTATTTTTTTAATAAAGTCTTACCTTATCACAACAACAACAACAACAACAACAACCTAGTGAAATCCCACAAGTAGGGTCTAGGGAGGGTAATGTTTACGCACACCTTACCCCTACCCCGGGAGGTGGAGAGGCTATTTCTGAAAGACCCTCGGCTCGAGAGGAAGAGGAGGAGTAATAATGTTCTATTATATTCTTTATGTTTCTGTTGCTTCCATGACAAAGGCTGTTGGTTTTTTGTGAATAGAGGAAAATCAACAGCAGAACAGAGAGGGGCAACCACCCTTTAAAGAAAATCCCAAACTCTCATTTTTGCTTCATTTCTTTTTGGGCTGATAACTTGTAGCAGGAAGTAGCACATGTCACATATAAAAAAAAACGATGTGCGACATCATTATCAAATCCCCATTACCTTGGATTACAGACCCTAGATACTTGAAACTTCCTCTCGTGGGGATGACTTGTGTATAAGTCTCACTTCCACGTCCACCTCATGGGTTACTCACTGAACTTACACTCTAATTATTCTGTTTTACTCCTACTCAACCTGAAACATTTAGACGCTAGGATTTGTCTCCAAACCTTCAGCCTAGCATTAACTCCGCCTCTCGTCTCGTCAATCAGCAATATTCATCAGCAAATAACATGCAGCATGGCACCTCCCTTTGAATGTGACGCGTTGGTTCATCCATCGCCAAGGCAGATTGGCCAAATGAGTCATGGAAAAAAGATTAATGACAATATAAAGTGTCAAAATAAATAATGTTGAGTTAATATTTTACAATAAATAAAGAAAACATAATTAATGAAAACATTTTATTTTTATTTCTTCAAGTTAGCGCTTTTACCAAGTCTGCGTCTTAATACCGTACTAGAATTGGATTTGGAAAATAACTTTATTTATATGATGAATTTGGAAAATAATAGAATTGGATTCTTTTTCTAATATAGTATTTTAAAGATTTAATTATTTGTTCTTAATATTAAAGAAACTAATTTATTTTTTGTGATTCAAATTTTTAACATTTAACAATAATAATTATTTTATCAGCTAAGTGTTCTCTGTTTAAAGGCTAAAAAATTGATGATTGTGTCTTAGGGTTCTTGTGTTGTAGATAGGAACACAAACATGTAAAAGTGGATACTCTATTTCATATTTACCTGTGTTAAATAGTCATTATTATTAATTATTCCTTTGGATTATCTTCATTAAGCTTATTATTATGACAAATATGAATGTGTCTTTATTTTAGGACTCTTATATTACATATATTGCTATAAACTTTATATATGCTTCTTTACTTAATCATATAAGTATCATTTAATGACTATTCCATCGTTCAATTTGGTTTATATATGTAAGATAAGTTGCATAACGTTAGTGTTCTTTCTTATGTGCTTATTCGAATTAAAGTAGTAAAATTTGAATTGATTTTAAAGTTTTGAATATTATGACTTCTTACATAGTTCAAATAAAGAAGAGTTTAATAAGCAAAACTTAATTGATTTTAAAGTCCTAGAAATTTAAAGAATAATTAGATAACTATTTTGTCTAGTGTGAAATCTATTTTTAAAAAGGTAAAATAGGCGAACGACATTTCGCTAATGGCGTCCGTGCTTTTAATATAGTGTAGATGAAAAAACCTTCAACGAGCATTTTCTGACACTCTCCTCATTGTTGAATTCACGCAGAGCTTAGAAAAATCTAAAGATGGTAAAAGAAGAATCATTTTGAAGAGCCATCAGATTTCACCAGTGCTAGAGCTTTGCAAGGTGAGTCAAGCAGATATTATGACATATGCATGCATCTTTTGCTGAAAGACAGTTTTCTTTTATAGAACTATTTATGTCATTGCTCCTAAATCCTTCTGGGTGTTTGCCTTTTTAGACTTTACTATATTTGTTGATTGTTTGGGACCAAGGAGGAACTCATGCAATGCTAATTGATGCATTGTTTCCATTAGTTTCTATATATTAATCTGTAACTTCTCTTTTTGTGTATCTCCAGTTGAATTGGTTGCTTGTTATCTGAACATAGCTGGTTGTCTAGGTGAACCTAAGGAGCTTCAGTATTTGTTATTAAATGCTGGTGAAATTATTTTATGAGAACTTCTTTCTAATAGATGATAGCTAATGTAAAATGAATATATGATTTTATTTCAGAATTTTGGGAAGTGTTCTTAAAAGCAGCCCATTGCTATCAACTAACTCACATTGCTAAGTACCAATATCATATGGCTACTTTGGTGGAACACTACACATGCGTGGATATTGTGGACTATATGGCTTGAGAGAAATAAAAGATGCTTTGAAGATACTGCTAATTTGATTCTCTAGATTAAGGCTAATTTTTGTTTTCTTTTTGGTGTAGAATGAAACATGTAAATGTATATATTACATGCATACTATGTACGCTGGCATCCCTGCTGCACTACCTTGTCGGGAGCATCCATAGTAATATCTGCTGCCTAGTCAAAGTAGGTCTTAATCAGATATGTGCCAATCTGCCACCCTTTTAACGAATTAGCAATGGGGTGAAAGCCGGTCAAATGCTTCATCTCATGTCGCCACCTTGGTACCCCACAACCCCTCCCAACAGTGTGGACTATGGACATCTACAGGAAGCCTTTAAATTAGCTCAATGTCTTGTAGTGTAGTGGTTGCCTAGAATGTATATGTCTCTGGGTGCCGACGCTTTAAAAGCACCATGATCAACCGTCAATCAAATTGTATACGGCCAACAGCGTACATCACACAGAACCTAGATTTGTATAAGTACTGTATGACACGACTGTGTAGAGGAGGGGCACAAACATGACACTAGAACTTCCCGTCTATACGTTGTGGATGATGGGTATCTGGTTCAGAAACCGAGAGCTTGGGGCTTAGAAATGGGGAGATTGCCGTTTTTTACTGCGAGAAGGGGGAAACTTTTGGCGTTTTTGTGTTTCGTTCGGTGGCTGTGTGGGCGTTATATTTTTTTTATATAGGTCATTGGACATTTACAAAAATCTACCTTTAATCTTAAAGGTAGTAGATTTTAGTAATATCCAACGACCTGTACTTAAGTAGGCCTAAATAGCCGTCAGTCGTTTCATTCAAAATATAGGTGGTTGAAAGCTGCAAACTCTCCA